CCTCGGGAAGATTAGGGGGCGGGTAGCCAGTACCAGAGGCTGTGCAAGGTAGGAGCCTCCTCATAGCTGCCGTGTGTCAATGCTGCCCTCCAGACACACCTTTGCATCTTCAGGAGGTGACCACAGATGGCCCCGGGTTCCAGGACTTTGCAGTGAGCATAGAAGGCCACCAAGGTGTGGCTCTGCAGGCACAGGAGCCTCTGGGTGCCTGGGTCAAGCTCACACACACCTCACCAGGGTTGGGCTGCAGCGTATGAATTCAGAAAAACCTGGAAAACACATTGTCTAGCTTACCAGGGGCAGGATTTCCCTGGACAAAGTAATATCTAGCCCAGCAAGTCATTCTTGGCTCCTTCTTTACTTGTTGGAGCACTAGCCAAGGAATCTGGGGAGAAATTCACCTGAAACCTAAGTTCAATATCAGAAGTAGATCTGACTCATTGTACACCAAGAGTACTTGCTCATCCCTGAGCCCTGAAGAGACTTGCCAGGAGCCATCTTTGAGCTTCAGCTGAAAGGATTCATTGCTTGCTGGGTGAATGGAGACAAACAAATTGGGCTAATCAAGTAAATAAACCAGGACATCTTTTGCTTTATGAAGTCGATGCAATGTCATCCGTATGTCACTGACAGGTAGATCAGGCCCCCACCAGCACCTCACAGTCACTTTTCAAAGGCAAGTGCTCTCCCAGGGAAACACCATCACTTATTGGAAGCAGCATGAGGGCTATGTAAGAAGAACCTGAACATCCAAACTCAAAGCAGCACAGGACTTCCTCCAGAGCCTTTGAAGGACTTTTTCGGATCTCATAAAAATAGGGAAGTTCCATCTGCAATTTAAATGACCTCAAAAAGCATTAAAACTTCAGCTTCTGAGCGATGCTGCTCTTCCCCCCAGTAGCTATTTTGAAATGTAAAAAAACCATTATGCCTCATCCTATGTAGCAAGAATTGTTGGTAGTTTCCCACTAGTCCCAGTTTTCCTGAAAGCTTCAGAAACAATTTCAGTGAAAGAGGTGCCACTACCTCAGAGGTTGAGATTCTAATGCAACTTTCTGGACAGTGACAGGTTGTAGAGGGGTGTTTTTTTCTGGTGAAAAACTGTGACTGCCAGGTCAGACCCTAACTTTGAGGAACTAGCCAAAACATTTTGTGATATTTTGTGTACTTTGCCTCCCACAAAGCAAATACATTCTAAATACATCAAGTGTGAAACTGTGCAGAGGATGAAAGCCCAACTTCATTTCCTCCTAGTTTCCAGCTATGTCAATGCTGAGGGTTCCTGCTGGCACCTCACTTCAAGAATCCCACCTTTCCACACCTCTCACTAACTTGTTGTGCCAGCAAAGATCTCCAGTGTCAACATGGCCTGTCTTCCAGCACAGTGCCACAGTTTGTACTAGCAGGTAAAAACAGAAAGGGAGGTGAAAGGAAAACCTTTTACTGGCTTTGAATCTCACAGCATCCTAAGGCAAAGAGCAGGAGAAAGTTTCAGGAAAACACAGTATACATCACCTCTGGCTGGATGTTGGAGTGGCTGTGGAGCAGTGATGGGATGGGGAGCAGGAGTGACTTCCTGAAAAGGTTGTCTCTGTTTCCCTTCGGATCACATGCTCAGTGGCAGAAACATTCTTAGAAATGTACTGTAAAATATGAAGAAGGACACAGATCAGCCAACAGCTTGCCAAAGCTGCCACAGCCAAATCTGGCTGGCTGGTTTATTTCTGCCGACATCAGATGAGGACTGAGTGAAGCTGGCAGCTCCACACCCCATGGAAAGTGACAAGGAAGCTGGAGGCTCTTCCCTGCCCCAGCACTTTGAACTGGGAAAGGGCACAAGGACTACAGCAGGGTATGAAGAGCCAAGGGGTTCCCCAGAGGACAGTGGTACCATGTGTAGCTACTGAGCTTTAGAAAAACAGCTCTGCTCACAGGCTAGACATCTGACAGAGCACTATCAAAAAGACAGCCCCATGAGATCTGCCAGAGATATGAGTCCTACAGGAACACCAGGGGTAATCAAAATATTTATGCTGAGGTATCCCTTCATCCAACAAGAAGCACTGCTCTTCACAGGGACACTGAACTCTCTGGGGGAGTCATGACTTTGGGGCCGGAAGGTTATGGTTCTTAGAAATTCCCTTTCCTCTTCCTTCATGGCTGGTACTCAATCTTGCTAAAATTTAACATCCAAAGAGGGACCCAGAAGAGCTTGTAACAGATTCACTGTGCTCCTTCCCATCAGCAGTTCTCTTTGTTTGGCTCCACCTCCCCCCTTTCCTTTTTTGGACCCTTTTCAACGCTTTGGCCCAGCAAGGCACTTAAGCACGTTGATGGTCCTGTTGAGTTCACAGTCTGATGAGAATCTCATGTGACAGAAAGCTGAGCTGCCCTTCTGGATCTGGTCCTGAATTCTTCGATCGCTCTCATTGACCTGACCCTGGCACCCCACCAGGACATCCCACCTTGCCCAGGACACAACTCTTGGTACAGGCAGGAGGGCTAAATCAGTGCTGTCCAGATCACCAGGACATGCTTCACCACGATGGGTCACCACAGCAGCTGTGACCACTACTGACCTGACAGCATTTGTCACACTGCAACGTGGGGCTTAACAGGACAGCTTGATAAACAGGAAACACTGGGAACATCTCTCTTAGAGGAAAATAGGATCACACTTGATTCATCAAAACAAACCTGTCTCAAGTGCCCTAAGCTCATCCTGTGCTTCAAATTAAACTCACATTTCCCTTCAAATGTTTGGGAATGTTTCTATGGAGAGCCTCATCTTTCTGTTCAAGTTTGTTAGTGTTCTGGTCCTCATGCACACGCACACAGGTGTGTAAGCACACATAGCCCCTTCAAATCCCTCATGGCAAACAGGCATTCAGTAACGTGCAGGGAGATGGAGACAAAAGGTCTTACATCAGCCATTTGGATTTCCTCAGGATCCAAACGTGGATGGCTTGGCCCATTGGCAAGGCTCCTGTTCTGATGGGCTGGGCACATGTTCTGCCGTAAATGATTGTGCATCTGTTTTCTTTGCTTCCTTTAAAACAGAAAGGGAAAAAAAAAATCTATTAGGAAGACTTATCTCATGGGGATGTCTCTCCTCAGAGACACTCTGGGACACAGATGATAGAGAAGGTAAGTCTTGGGTATATTTGATGTTTCATGTGGAAACCTGCAAATAGGAAGAAACAAGGCCTTCAACATTTGCCACCTTCTGCTTTTTCAAAAGAAGGTGAACGTTTCTCATCATGGGCTATTTGGGAGGCTGGCTCCAGGATCCCCTTTTGCAAGACAAGCACCAGCACAATTCAGGGGAGCCAGGGGCACCATGATGCTGGGAGTGGAGAAGAAGAGTGGGGAGAAGGAAAAGAGCAAGGAGGTTCTGGCATGGCCTTGGGGACAAGGCACTTGACCTGTCCTGCACTAAGCACAAAGTGGCAAAGCCTACCCATGCCCCTGACAGGCCATCCACTCTACAGGACCTTCTGTGTCTCAGGGGCTCCCTGAACTGAAGTGAGGTGCAGGCTAAGTAGGGAAAAAGGTGCTGCCCAGGAGGGAAGGTTGGTCATTTATTGTCTCCAAGCTTCTTGTTCCATCAAGATTGCTCTGAAAGTCCATGAAACATACATAGCTAAGCCCACAGCTCCTGCACAACAGCCCAGTGGGCTTCTGCCATCAGGACATGAGCTGCAGGTTTAGGGGCAGCTTCTCCCAGTAACACAGATCATCTGGCTGGGCACAATGATGCTGATGCATGAAGCAAATGGTTCCAGGAAAACATCCTGCTCAGGCACAGTCTGGTAGATGGCTTCACTGGCCTCCTTCATGAGACCTTCCTGGGAATACCACAGCACTGCATCCCCTTAAAATAGCATTTGGTGAATAGCATGAAAGCATGAAGCATGAACACTGCCATTTTGTGACCTCTGGCCAGTTACTGTCTGTTAACCACCCATACTCACTTGGTTTTACAATAAGCTACCACACAGACGATGCCCACCACAAGCAAGGCAACACAGATTCCTGTGATGGTTAGAACTCTCTTCTGGTAGAGCTCTTCTGCTTCTGCAAATGGAGAGAAAGAGACCAGTTACAAATGAGCTCCAGCACCAGGGCTGTGTCTGGCTGCACAGGAACCAGCACTGTGTGTGGGTAAAATGGAGAAGAGGGCTCAGTCCAACCTCCTACTCATCCACTGCCCATCTCTACTAGCTGCCCCAAACCTGAGACCCAGCCTTACCCCTGCAGTCCTTTTGTCTCTCTGCACCTTTGCCCTCTCTCACTCTCACTCCTCTGTGCTCAAACATGCTTTTTGCTTCTTCTTTTGTTCCTGCAGTGTAACTTGGTGACTGGTCTCAAAAGGCCCCAGGACTCCCCTCTCCCATCCAGCAGATATCCCCTTTCTTGGTAACTTAGCAGCCTGCCAAGGAAGTCCCCAGCACACCCCACTCACCACGAGCACACATGCCCTGTGATGCTCTCATCACAGGCCCTCTGCTCTGAGTGGCTCAGGATGCCTTTCCCTGCAGGGGCTGCATGCCCTGGAGCTCAGCAGGGTGCCAGACACCACCCACTAACAGGCCCCAAAGCATGTAGGTGCTGAAAGGGACATCCTAAACCAGTCAAACAGCAGAATGAGGATGGAGAAGTGACAGTGCATTAGACAAAGGAAAGGGAGTGGAGGAATTAAAATACAGTGACCAATTACAGTTATGGATCTTTAATGAAACCTTTTAATTAATTCCATCGCCCCGGGTAACTCGGATGCACACACAAAACTCAAGCAACATGCTGCTGCTACTCCCAAAGATGAGCATTTGTCAGGGATCACCTTTAAAACCAGAAAAGTTAGTCACTGGCACCCAAACCCAGGCTCTGCTGGAAGTCAGGTCATTCACTGACATGAACCCAAGCTGCAAGGAAGTGCCAGGCTGTGACCTGCAGTGTGACTGAACTACATCCAGGCAGCAATTGCATGGCAAGGGCCCCTCTTTCTCTGTGGCTACATCACAGCAGATGCTCTTCTCTGACATCCAGCAATCTCCACTAACATCAGCAGGGGCAGCCTGGCTCTCCAACTGGATGACTGAGAGCTGGGGTCAGTGTGCAGCTGCCATGAGCATTTGACTTCAGCACCTGTGAGTTATGTCCTCGTGCCCTCATCCTATGTGTTAATGTTGAAGTTATTTGGGTTTGTGCCTCCTTTAATAGGAATTGAAATCTTTTTTTCATATAGATTAGGCAATAAAACTCAGGCCATGGTTGCTGTGCTCACCACTCCACCCTGAATAGCTTGAAGGGGTTTTGTGATCTCCCCAGTGCTCCCAAGAAATGAAATATAAAACCAGAAAAGAAAATGGTCTGGTCCCACAAAAAAAAGCAAGGGAGTAGCAACGAAACACTCCACATAATTGAATGTTTAGACCAATTTCAGTTTGTCCTCTTAGGGAGGAAGAAATGCTTTTGGAAAAAAAAAATGCTCCAGGAAAAATATTTATCTCTTTCTGGCTCTCAAAATGGGAATTAAGAGAGACTTGCTAAACAAGGGTTGAGAATTGGAGCCCTGGCAAGAAGATGCAAAACATAACCAGCAGAACTTGCTTCACACCTGTGCTGCAAAGCTCCAGGTTCAAGAAATGCACTTCCCTTGGTTTGTCTGTGCATGGGCCTTTGGCTGGAGGAGGGACTCAGTGTGAAGCTGCTGGGAAGGTGATGTCCCCCCATTCAGAGAGGTGGGCAGCTGAGACTCTTCCAGACTCCACCCCAGGGTGGTGTGGAGAAGGAGTGACATGGGTCTCCCTCATGCTGGAAGTCCTTGTGCCAGGCAGCTGCACCTCCAGGGAGCCAGAGCCTGCAGGGCTGGGACCTGCCCCCTGGGAGGCTGGAAGTGGCCAACCTTACAAAACCTCTTTGGGTTTTACTACCAGACAGAGCTGGCACAGGGAAAGAACTCACTCTGGAGCAAAACACCTCCTTCAGTAACATATTCTCCTTGAACAACTGCCCTTTTCCAGGCATCAGCAATCATGGCAGACAAGTTTTCTTTGCCTTGCACAGCTCTGGGACCTGGATCCCAGCTGTACTGCTCTTTCCTTCAGACTGGACTTTCAGAGATTTTAGTAGAATGAGGAAAACCAGCCAGGATCATGGCCTGGTTATGGATGGTACCGGGAAAGAATTTTGATACTACCCAGCAAAAAACCAATTTTACCAAAAAAACAAGGTTTGGGGGAAGGTCAGTTTTCACCATGGACCCATCCAATGCTTTCAAAGGTTCTTAACCAGCTCTGTTTTTTTGCTACAAATACTTTTTCTTGGGGTTTTTTTGTTGTTTGTTTGGGGTTTTCGACTTTTTCTTGGGGTTTTTTTGTTGTTTGGGGTTTTTTTTCCCCCAAGCATATATCATTTCCTTTGAATAATGGAGGGGGCCCCAAACATATATCATTTCCTTTGAATAATGGAGGGGGAAGAAAGAGCAAAGCCATCAAAACAATGACTTTTTGAGTTTTTTACCTATTACTTACATGACACGATGTTTCAACCAAGGCTCAAACCACAGCCTCTGGTCTGGTGATCAAGTCAGTATGGGACCCTGACTCTGGCATGTCTACCTGTCCTGAACCTTCACCTGAACTGCACGGGGAATGTTCCAGTCCACCAGAAATTCAGATTTATCCTCTCTGCCTTGGGCTGAGAACTCTGCTGTGTGAAGCAGAGTGTGAGGCTGTGCATCACTGCTGCAAAACTAAACATGAAATGACCCCCTGACAGTTACTTAGCCTGGCTAAATGCCACTAAAGGTGATGCTCCAAAACCCAGTATCTTTGTGTTGCACAAAACCACCTCCACAATGCCAGAAAGAAAAGAAGAGGATGCACACACACTACAATTGTGTATTGGAGAGGTAAAGCTTCCGCAGCAGGACTTGTCCATTTGGGTCTCTATGCTCTACAACCACGTCTCCAGCAGCAGCAGCATCACTCTACAGCAGCAAACACTATGAACAAACCATGTGGTGCCACATAATGCCGAGAGAATCACAGTCCAGCCTGGGGTGTCCCAGCAAGGCATGACAGTGAGAGACGAATGACAAGGAAGAGACGACTGCAGACAGGGAGCAGGATGTGGGCGCTTCGGTGGTGACGTTGAGAATGGATGAGGAAAAGGACAAGAGGTCAACAAAAAAAAAAAGGGATGTCAAAAATCCTCAATTTTAAAGTTGATATAAGTGTATTAGCATTAGCAGCACCGCTTTCTCTGAGACACCTGACCACAAGATGCACACGTTTCCTGCAGCAGGGAAGGGCTGCTGGGGGATCCACACCAATCCTGATGGATCAGGCAGGCAAAAACCAGAGGAGGCAAGTTGCTCTAGCTTCAGCTAGTGCATGACCCTCCACCTCAGGGATTTGAGAAGACAATTTAGGATCCAGAAGTGAAAGACTGGTGTCCCCATACCTCTAGCAAATGAAATTGAAGCATCTTCATGTGAAGATCTGCTCTGGCTGACATTGCCAAGTGAACATTTTTAAGTGATGAAGATAAATCTCTCTGCTCTCATCTGACCAAGCACTCTCCACAGTTGGCCTGTACACTCAAGGGGAACCAAGCCTCAATGATTTGATTTCCCAGATGCTTCCTCAGGAGATGCTTGATACATTTCTAAATACAGACTGAGAAGAATGGAAGAAAAATAATACGATTATGAGCAACTGGGCAGGTATGAGCAGGTAATTGCCCAAAGGGGATATTTTTAAAAGCATTTAAGTTACTGCAGTGTTTTTCCAAACTTCAAGTGTGCCCCCATGATACTGAGCTTTACACTCTCCACTCTCCTGGGAGACTGCTGACTTCCCCAGGCTCACTGTTTTCTAGACTAACTTGTCTCATGCCAATTTTCTTGGAACAATTTCCTCCCAGTCAGAACTGAAATCAGCTGCTAACCTTTGGGGGAAGGAATGGCAAACATCATCCTGAGCCTTCGGAGGATTCAGTGGAGGTTAGTGCATCTAGGGCGGCAATTTCTGTGAGCCCTGATCTTCCTAAAACTTGCCTCCCATTCCTGGAATGCCTGCCCATTCCCAGGTGGTGCCTGTTGGTAGCCCTTTGGACGGACACAGACTCCAGCTTTTCAATTAAACAGACCAAAAGCATGTTGAATGAGGAGACATAAGGCAGTTGTAACATCCCAGTCACACCACACACACCAGGCTACTGCTTGAAACAAAGAAAAAAGTGCTGCTAAAAATACACGTTCACAGGTTTACATTTCGATTTTGTGTTTTGATTCAGTTTTGTTGGTTGGTTTGTTGGTTTTTTTTTCAATCCAAACATCTATCTTGGTGCCAGGGAAGAGAACACAACAGCTGATTTTTTAATCATCCCATTAAAGCCATAAATATAATGTGGGCAGCTCTTAATGGCTTCTGATTAGTAAATGAATGGTTGTTCCATACCCTTTAATTCAAATCCAAGATGCTCTGCCAATGCAGAAAGAAGACAAGAGAAAGAGAAAAAGAAAAACAGGTCTGTCAGAGATCTCTAAAATACAAACACACACACTGTGCAGTTACAGCAGGTTAGCTTTTCTGTAGGCTCAGCAGCACTTGCACAGAAGACAGGGTATGCTTCAGAGCATTTCAAATTCCCACCAGAGCTTATATTTTAGGTAAAGAAAGACCCAAACAAATTGCAGTGGAAGATAATTATGAATTCTTTTCGTTAATTATGAATTCTTTTGAGATGAGTCATGTTTGTTAGTACCTGGTATGGAATTCACAGTTTAGGCAGAAGGGAAAAAAAAAAAAAGAAGAAGTACACTTGTTCTGAAACAACTCCTAGCAGGTCAAAACACATAGTGACTGCATGAACCTGGTGCAAACCATGAATTCCCCTTTCTACAGGCACAAGATGCCCTGCATGGTTTCACATGCCCCTCTCTGCCTGGGGCCCGTGCACCAACCTGCAGTGCCCATCTGCAGCTGAACCACTGCCCCTGCAAGGGATCAGTTGCCCGGGCAAGGCAATGAATCCCTTGCAGATTTAAAAGTACAAATTGCACAGACAGCTTCCCTCAACTCTGTGATCTTTCACATTTCACTTCTGCTGTGGTTCTGCATTGCTTTGGAAGCATCAAGCATGCTGAAAAAAAAAAAGCATACATTGAATCATCTGCTTTTAGATTCATATTCATACCAAGTGAGGTTGCAGCTCATCTTGCAGAGATAGTGCTGAGCAAAGTAGTTTACCTAATGAATCAACAACACAGTTATCCAAAACAGATATACTGGATTTTAGTCATCTTCCTGGTGCAGGCCTCACCAAAAGGCAGCTTTTCTTACATAAACATTGAAGCTCTCCATCCTTATCATTGTACACAAAGGTGAGCTCCCAATCACCATACACACAAGATAATTTGCAGCTCAAGGCATCCAGATTTGTTTACTGTATTTCCATAGGAACTGATCTTTGCTGCACAGAAATACTTAGTTTCCTTTGTAATGCTGCTCAAAATTTAGGCAGGGGGGGAAACCAGCACTAATTGCTATGGAACATGTAAACATGTTTTCTAAAGCAGGTTCTTCTCTTCAAATCAAGAGATGGGGGGGAGGCTGGGGGCTGGGAGCTGGGTTGGATTGGCTTGTTGACATTTTTTATATCATTTAAAGGACACAAAACCTGGCTGCTCTCTGCTTCACATTTCACATTTGTGCAAAAGTAAAGGCAAACTCTACCACGAGTTTCACAGTAATTTTGTGCAGGTTGCAGTGACAGAGACACCATGTGGTGGGCAGCAGAGAACTGGACAGAGGACACTCATCCTAAGCCTGCTGGTTATCCCATCTAGCCTTGAACTGTTCCTAAGGCATTCCACCATCACACACACTACTTCACCTGACACTGTAAGAAATGCTTGTAGGGATATGTTACATTTCACCCATATATCTAGGCCACTGGTCCATTTGATAGCTGCTCACTGCCTACACTGCCACATTTTCCTCCCTGTTCCTGGATTATACTGCAGAATCTACAGCTACAAATGGCTGCAACTCAAAACATGTTCATGTTTTTTGAAAAAAGAAGTGGTGTGCAGTACTAGAGGAACTTCAGCCTTCCCACTGTCCCTCTCACATCAGAAGAGGAGTTTGTTTTGGCTTCCCAAGTCCATGGAGCAGATGCAGCCAGCTAGCTCATCAGATCTTAGCTGGAGAGAAACCCTGCAACCAGGCAGCAGCTGGAACAGAGGTGCCTGCCTACCTGAAAACACATCAGGAGCTCTGCAGAGAGAGGAAGCCTCACTGCAGCCTCTGCTCCTGCCTCTGATGTCCATGGCTACACAATAATTCTCTGTCATCATTCCAGGCTACTGACATAACTGAACACATTGAACAGGAAGACACTCTCCCCTTCCCCTGCTCAGGAGTTACTCCCAGTCTGGGCAAATACTGCCTTCTGTGCCAGGACAGTGAAGGAGGAGACACTTCACAAGTCTGCTGGGATTTGGGGGGTTTGTCTCTTCTCTAAAGAAGACACTTCAAAATTATTCAGCACATCCAGAGGCTAATGAGATGACCCCATCTCTGGGAAAAAAACCCAACAACATTACTTCAAAATGTAATCATTCTGCACTCAGCTGAGGGACACCATCCTCACAAACATGGCTTACCACATGAGTGCCTATTTTATACCAGCAACACATCACTTGGGAGCAAACACATCTCAGAAATCAAAATCTATCCTAGAGACAACAATTCATTTTGGTCTTAGACAAGATATTCCTGACTGCACACCACGTGTGAAAGATGTCTCCTTTGCTTTTCTGAAGAGGTTGGTCAGGAAAAGTACATCTTTAAAAGCTTTGTGTTGTATTTGCTGCTGGGTGGAGAAGATGCTCAGCATGAGATGTAGCACCTGCACTGTGTCCTGCAACAGCTCAGTCAACCTGCATTTTACTCACCCTCCCTGTTAGACTGGCAGTCTGGCAGCTTGGGATGCTGGGGATGCCTAGAAACCTTTGGGTAACAGTCTGCTTTGTGGCCATTAACTGTACAGAGGGAAGAATGAGGCCTTGGTAAGTCCTCCAGCTCCTCCAGATGGTGATTCACTCCATGCTGATAGAGGTGGTTGCAGTGGGGAGATGGATCTCAGGCTTGTGGCAGAGAGAGCCTTTGGGCTCTGTAGAGACAAACTGATACATGCCAGGAGTGCTGAGAAAGGACTGCAGGACTCTACAAACCCCATGGGACAAGCTCCATTGGAAGAGAAATATCCAGAGGTTAACATGCAAATAAATTGCCATGAGACAGCCCTGGGATGGCAGCTGTAGGCTGAGGAAATGGGTGTATTTATTATTTTTCTCACATCATTAACCTTCTTTCTGAACTCCACACGTGCCCCCTGGTCATGGCAAGGAGCTAGGGCTGAGCACCCTGAACTGCTCTGGGACTCCTCAAACGAGCTGAAGTGAGGACATTTTTGGAAAAAATCTCATTTCTAAG